GGAGGAAGGCGAAAAACCTCCAGAGGCTCAGCCAATCTGCCCTGGAGGAAAATTCCTTCCCGACCCCAAATATGGCGATCAGTAAGACCCCGAGCATATAGGCAAGAGTCTCCAGATCTGAAGACTATTAAAGTAAGAGAATCCCCACCACACACTAGCATACTAGGAGGAGCATGCTGTACCTTTCCAAGAGGTGGCATAGTGGAAATATTCCTAGTGTACACCTGGAACTGTGAGGGATTGTACCCCTAGGGTGTGAAGCTCCACTCTGCCCTCAACACGGGCCTGAACCTGACACCTAATTTGTCATCTATGGAGCAGGCTCCATCTTCTGTTTTGTACAACCTCACACAATGGGCTCCTGGTCCATGTCTGGGGCTCCTAGGGGTTACTACAATGCCAATAATAAAAATAGATCACTGTTGAATTAAACAATGGGAGTTTGTGATGCAAATGTCAAGCTTGTTTATTTAGAGTTTTACACACATTAAAAAGGAGCTTTAATCCTTTGCTCTAGAGGCTTCTTACGCTATTAAATAAACAACCATTTCTGTAACCACACTCCTAGACCAACCTCTCAAGAAAAACACTAAACAGACTGGCAAGGAGCGAAAATATGCAGAAACCACCCAGGAAGCTTGACAATATTCCATATTTCACTACTACTTTGCCCTGAACTTGTCTCGTTATCAACCTTATTCTGCCAAACATACACAGGGTTACAGACAAATTGGCAATGACTATATTAGCCTAAAATATGCTCAAATTGGAGGTGATGTGTTATGCTGGGGATTTCAACTCTTCGTTATCATGCAATTACACAAAGAAAGTCTGCCTGGGAATTAAAAATTCTGAGGACATATGAATAAATAAGCCCCAGCTTCACTTTCCAAGTTGTATTCTGATAACTAGGGAACACCACCTACATGCAGCCATAAAACATAGAAGCTCATTGCTGCTTTCAATATCGACCTCCCATCTCATCAGCTGACAGTTTGGGCATTGTCAGGTATTGTGAATGAGAAAATATTAGTTTTAACAAAGGAACATCTGCTGCTCCTAAGCAGAAAATGATGCGTACAGACGTGTGTGAGTGTAGGGAGCAGGACAACAGCACAATAATATCTGCACTCACCACACCAGCTTCGGGATTTCTCTTCCTCCCATTGCTGAACGTGGAGGCCAGGGTCGAAGAGCAGCTTTCATCGTACAGAGCTGTCCGGCCATCATTAATAGCAGAATTGATGGAGATAGTCCACATGCTTGATGCATAGCCGTCACAGTTACAATCATCATAGCTGCCTCCATCTCCAGAGGCCCAGACGTAGATGCTTCCCTTGCCGCCACGGCCCTGTGGAAAAGAAATTGAGTCTGTCAGGTTAAATTATGCATTCAAACATGAAGCAAGGCATCCATCTGTCAAGGAGAAAACAGGCCCTAGATAAATGTACATCAGTAGCAAGCTGAAAGTGCATGGACTGCTGCAGACTTTAAAAATCCAGTTAACTGTTAATCACAGCCTGTTCTGCAATCTTTTATGTGCAGAGTGTTCTCATTTATCATTTTGTTTACTTGGAACACCAAAGGTTTCTGTGCTAAGACATTTTATGGATTCATTAGAACCTGGAGTTGATATCAGGCACTAAGCACTATGGGGACATAAGAATACAAGAATGGCCATACTGGGTAAAACCAAAGGTCCACCTAGTTCCTAGTATCCTGTCTTCCAACAATGGCCAATGTCAGGTGCCCCAGAGGGAATGAACAGAGCAGGTAATCATCAAGTGATCCATCCCCTGTCACCTATTCCCAGCTTCTGGCAAACAGAGGCTAGGGACACCATCCCTGCCCATCCTGGCTAACAGCCATTGATGGACCTATCCTCCATGAATTTATCTAGTTCTTTTTTGAACCCTGTTATAGTTTTGGCCTTCACAACATCCTCTGGCAAGGAGTTCCACAGGTTGTCTGTGCATTGTGTGAAAAAATACTTCCTTTTGTTTGTTTTAATATTGCTGCCTATTAATTTCATTTGGTGACCCCTAATTCTTCAGTTATGAGAAGGAGTAAATAACACTTCCTTAGTTACTTTCCCCACACCAGTCATGATTTTATAGATCTCTTAGTTATCTCTTTTCCAAGCTGAAAAGTCCCAATCTTATTAATCTTTCCTCATATGGCAGCCGTTCCATGCCCTAATAATTTTTGTTTCCATTTTCCTAACCTTTTCCAATTCCAATATATCTTTTTTCAGATGGGGTGACCACAATACACACAATATTCAAGGTGTGGGCATACCATGGATTTATATAGAGGCAATATGATATTTTCTGTCTTCTTATCTATCCCTTTCTTAATGATTCCCAACATTCTGTTCATTTTTTTGACGGCCGCTGCACATTGAGTGGATGTTTTCAGAGAACTATCCACAAGGCCTCCAAGATCTCTTTCTTGAGTGGTAACAGATAATTTAGACCCCATCATTTTGTATGTATAGTTGGGATTATGTTTTCCAATCTGCATTACTTTGCATTTATCAACATTGAATTTCATCTGCCATTTTGTTGCCCAGTCATCCAGTTTGGTGAGATCCTTTTGTAGCTCTCTGCAGTCTGCATGGGACTTAACGATCTTGAGTAGTTTTGTATCATCTGCAAATTTTGCCACCTCACTGTTTACCACTTTTTCCAGATCATTAAAATGGATATACTATTCATCTAACTGACCGGGTTTATAAGGTACACTTAAGGTCTGAGTGTGGCTAGAAAACCATGTAAAACTGTTACCACTTTCTTTTCTCAACAGATTGGCTCCCTGTTTTTTTTCTCATGTCTATTTGTTTTACTGACCAAACTAGCTTGAATTACTGTTAGCGCTGTAGAACCAACACCGCTATGACAGCAACTGAATCATCAACAAAAGAAAGCACCTCCCAACTCCCCTTATGAAGCTGGCGTTGGCTGGAGAGATCTAAGCCAAGAGGGAGACATGATGGATAGAACCCTCTCAGTAGCTAAAGGAAAAGAGAGTAGTATCCTCCCACCTACTCCAGGCACCAGGAAGAGGGAGGGGTTATTTCAAGCACCATACCCTGAGAAAAGAGGGGTGAGGGCTGGATAGAGAAATGTTTTGATTGAGAGTCTTGAAACCTTGGATGAAATCCTGGCTACATTGAAGTCAATAACAAAATTCTCATTAACGTCACTGAAGATTAAAACTCAAAGGGTAAAATGTTAATCCCCTGCCCCCATTTATTTCTGATAATATAAAAGGGAGTAAGAACACAGCTTAATATCTAGCTGTCAGGTATGTCTGCAGTGCTGAAGGTTAGGAAAACTACTTTCTGGCTAGTTAATGAACAAATGTGATCTGGAAGTCATGAAGCACATGAATACAGCACCCTACAATGTCATTTTAATAGGGTATGTTCTCTGACTGTACTTTATATCAAATCCCATTTCACAGCACTGCCTCATATCTTTTATCATAACAGAGTGGACGATGCAACTTCATTATTTTTAAACGAGTTAGCAAGTAGCATTATAATTCGCTGATATCACAGTGGGATTTCAGCCGTTAGGTTGTATTTCTTCTCTGGAGAAGAACTCTTGTAATAAAGATTATGACACTGGATAGCTTATTTAAATCAGCCTAAGAGTACCCATATAGACTCGAGGTCAGTCATTTTAGATATACGTGATTGGATATACTGTTGTAAAAATTTATGTTGTAAGAACAAAAGCTAAGGAACATGGGCTTGTATCTGTCCAACAAGTGATTCTTTAAAAGCAAAGCATCAAAATAAGAAAAAGAATGCCTTTTTTCTTCCATTTTAAAATACCCCATTTGACCTGAAACCCCCAGCTGGTGCTAAGGTAGTTGTAGATTTGGGGAAAAGGGGAAACAGGGACCCAGTATCCTAAAGTAAGTGCTTGCCAGAAAGCAATGCTTCCCCTCTGTGGTAGATTATCTTTGTTAATACCCCAAAACTATTCCCAATGATGGCATTGAGATGAGGCCTTTGAGTCTTAGCAGTATTAGTATAAAGAACACCTTCCTTCTTAATTCGCAGGACTGCACTTTTAATTGGATAAGAATAGTGGTGTTATCCTTTAGCCAATTTGCTAACTCCGGAGATGGAAGAACAAGTGAGGCTAAGCAGTGTTTTTGTACTCGGACTGGAAGATAGCAGTCACTAATCTCCATGGCTCCTTGTTAACTTTCCTATATTTAAATACATCCTTCATTGGGATAGTTAACAAGGGACTTTTGTATCACATTAGCAAAATTTTGTGAAACATTAATACCGTGTAGAAGAATAAATCACAAATAAAATAAACAAGGTGATAAGTGCAAGGAGCAAAGTCTAGGGCTATAGAGTGCTGGTTGGGACCTGGTCCTAAAAATAATTCATTCATATAAAATATTAAATGCCCCGAGTTATCATCTTCTAAAAACAAGTAAACAATTTTTAGAATTCAAAAACAGTTTGTTTAACTCCCTGGTCACATTCTCCTCAATTCTCTTACGTTTTTTTCACTTCTCTATTCTAGCCAGGACTGGAAACAGAAGTGCACAAACATCATGGGAAAGGCTTTAATAGCCCAAATGAAGGACCGGAAATCTCCTCAGAAATCCTGTTCTTTTGAGATTTCCACCCGAATGTGGCAGATTTCAGAGGTTCAGACAATTTGCCAAGGGAAACTTTTGGTTGATTACTTGAATATTTCCAGTTCTCCTCTTATTAGTGAAGATACTAAAGCTGATCAAAACTTGCATAATAAAACCTGGAAACAGGAAAACTGGGGGAAATTTATCCAGCCTGGGGCTTAATTAGAAATCTGTCTAATGCTGAGGGCCTCCTTTTGAAGTCCAGACTCTCACATGTCACACATGAATATACTCACACTAATCCCATTAACGCTAACGGTAAGTGTTACTCAACATGAGGAAATCTTGCAGAATGAGGCCATGAACAGAGTAGGAGTAAGTAAACGCTGAACATAACCGAGATACCAGAGGGAGCTTGGAGAAAGACACATGAGGAGAAGAGAAAAGAACAAGGAGACAGTGGAGCTGTTACATTTTTGTATGTTTGTTTCACTCAGATTCCTAATCTTCTGTATACACTACCAGTTAAAATAGGCATGACTTGCCCACTGGGTAACTATTTTTTCCATATAACTGTTGTCTTGTAGAGCTCATACTTTCAGAGAACTCCCTTTACTGTTGTCTAGCTAGCTAGACTGTTGGGTAACACTGCAGGCTAATTATTGAAATATCCCCTTAAATAAAACTCGAGATGTCTCTTTATTACTATTAACACTGTGTGTACTGCAGTAGTGTTTAGGGACCCCAGTCATGGAATAGGACCCCATTGTACTAAGCGCTGTAGAAACACAGAACAAAAGGATGGCCCCTCCTCCCAACAGCTTACAATCCAAGTATAAGGCCAGGTCTACGCTATAAACCGGGGGTGGCCAAACTTACTGGCGCTCCAAGCCACATACGACAATCTTCAGAAGTTTGAGAGCCGGAGCACACCTGCTAGGAGCTCGGGCTGGGGGCTTCAGCCCCACTCCTGCTGAAGCCCCGAACTCCAGCAGGTGCACCTCATAGGGCTGAAGCCCCGAGACCCTTCTCCCCACTGGAGAGAAGCTCCTACCCCACTACCCCTCTGCAAGGCAGAGGTCCCGAGCTCCTTCCCTCACCCCGTCTGGTAGGTGGAGAATACGGGGCCAGAGGGGGCTTGTGAGCCACACTTTCATGGTAAAAGAGCTGCATGTGGCTTGTGAGTCACAATTTGGCCACCCCGATATAAACTTACATTGGTATAACTATGTCTGTCAGGGATGTGAAAAATCCACACCCCTGAGCGACACAGTTATACCAACCTAGCTCCTGGTGGAGATAGCACTTCTCCCATCAATACAGCTACCACCACTCATGGAGGTGGATTAACTATGCCACTGCAGCGTTTTAAGTGAAGACCTGCCCTAAGAGACAACTGGTGGATACAGACAGATGGGGATGTACAAGGAAACAATGTGACAATACTAGTCTCAGCACACCAACTGCCTCACTTTCTCAAGTATTTTTTAGAATCCATGGCAAAAGAGAATTTTAAGAAGGGACTTGAAGGACAACATGATGGTTTCAAAAGTTCACAGGCAATCTTCTCCCAGGTGTGAGGGGCAGTATGGGGGGGAAATGTGAAGGTTCATCTTTGAAAAATGATCATGGAGTTGGAAATTGTTTTCTGTCAAGAAACAGAATTTGTCATTGGGTTTTCTTTTTCCTTTTTGTGTTATAACTGTTAGTACAGATTTTTTTTTCTTTCTTCCCCTTGAA